CGCATCAGTGCTGCTTTTGGAGAACGACCTTGCCAAAAAGGGGTAAGAGGGAAAAGCGAGGATACCAAGACAACATCATTCTTACCAGATCAGACAAATCCTGGCTGAGAAGTAGTTAAGGGCAAAGCCTCACACCTGCCTTTCTAAGCTAAGTACTTCTACAAAGAAAGTTGTCTTCTTCTTGCAATGTATGCTGTGTTTTGCGTGGCTGGCACATAGGCTCCAATTTCTGTAGCATATTTTGTGGTTAACATTCCTTAGGACTGCAATAATCAGGCTAAGATAATCTAGAGAGAACAATTGCCCAGGCACTGCCAATACAACTCGACCAATGAGCTGGTGCCAGCTCCGACCTGGGGTGCCAAGACAAATGTACTCTGCAGTTGAGGAATTTACGTAAATCTTCCCCCTGTGCTTTTAAAAACTTCCTCTTGCCTCGGCCTCCTTGAATCCAGCCATAGTTTACTATGACAAATGTGCTGCTGCCGTAAGGCCCTGTCATTCTCAAATAAATGGGAGAATCTTTCTCTTTTTGATTCTTTGATTCTCTTCACTTTGATTCTACTTCTATGCCATTGTGGTCCGAGAAGATACTTGCTAACATTTTGATTTTTTAAAAATTTGCTGACACTGGCTTTGTGGCATGACATGTGGTCTATCCTACAGAATGGATTTTTCCATTTTTATGTCTTCTATTTTTTTCATTATTGTTTTTTAAATTTTCATTGTAGATATCTTTCATGCACTTGGTTAGATTTATCCTAAGTTACTTAGCTTTTTGGTAGCTATCTTGAATGAGATTGTTCCTATAAGTTCTTTCTCAAACTGATCATTCTTGGTGCATAAGAATGCTGTTAATTTTTGTGCATTGATTTTATATTTTTATATCCTGCAACTTTGCTGAATTATCTTATCAGTTGTTATAGTCTCTTGGTGGAATCCTTTGCTTCCCTTATATAAAGAACCATGCCATCTGCATACAGGGATATTTTGATTTCCTTATTTCCAATTTGTATCCATTTAATTTCTTTTTCTTGTCTAATGGCTCTAACTGAAACTTCCAGAGCGACAGTGAACAAAAGTGGTGAGAGTGGACATCTTCATCTGGTTCCAGATCTTAGTGGAAATGCTTCCAGCTTTTCCCCATTCAACATGATGCTGGCTGTGGGCTTGTCATATACAGACTTTATTGTGTTAAGGTACATTCCTTCTAAACCTAATTTTTTAAGGAGATTATTATGAAAAGATATTTTCTTTGATCAAAATGCTTTCTCTGCATCTGTTGACACAATTATATTATGTTTACCACTCAATGCATTGTTCTTTCTAGTTTCTCTGAATTCTCTGTGTTCTCTTGCATTTCCTTGAATTTCTTAAAAAATCATTATTTAGAATTCATTTTCAGGCAATTATTTTGGTTTCCTTTTCTCTGGGATCTGTTGCTAAAAAATTATATGTGTCTTTGGAGGTGTTGCTTTACTTTGATTTTTCAAAAGTGTCTTTATTATTTATTTATTTTAAAAAAGATTTATTTTTATTTATTTGAAAGGCCCTGTTATAGAAAGAGAGAGGGAGAGACCCATGGATAGAGATCTTCTAGCCAAGGGTTCACTGTTCAAACAGCCACAGTGGCAGGACATGGATCAGACTGAAGCCAGGAGCCAGGATCCTCTTCCTGGGCTCCCACACAGTTGCACGGGCCCAAGCACTTGGGTCTTCTGCTGCTGCTTTCCCAAGGAGTGGAGTAGCTGGGACTCGACACAGTAGCCATATGGGATGCTGATGCCAAAGGTGGCAGCTTAACCCACTACCCCACAAAGCCAGCCCCTCAAAAGTGTCTTTATATTGATATTTGTGCATATGGATGGTCAGTCACTTCTCCCACTTTTACAGGGTGGCATCAGCGCTAAAACTTTTTTTGTCTGTCCTGTGTCCGAGTGTGTTGCTTGAGTTGGCTACATTGGCTTTGCTTCAAGGTGAGCATGGTAAGAGCCTGTGTAGCTGCTTGGGCTGTAATCGGTGCCGACTGAGACTGTGGCTGTAGGGGATTTGTGAGATTTCTGTCAGTGGGTATGTCCCTCTCTGAGGCGGAGTGAAGTCGCAGGTATAGCTGGTGCAGTGAATTTACATTCTCTGTTCCCCTAGGCCCCGATAATCTCTAATCGAATTTCTGCTCCAATGAATTTCTCTATTCTAAATCAGGGTGGAATCGTACAATACAGGTCCTTTTGTGACTGGCTTTACTCACTTGGGATCTTGTTTTCAAGGTCCATGATGGTGTGGAATGCATCATTCCTTATATGACTGAATAATATTCTGTTGCATGTGTTTTCCACATTTCGTGTACCCCCTCTTTTGAAGCACACCCAGATTCTTTCACCTTATGTGTATTGTGAATGATATCATAGTGAACTGGCTCACAAGTATCTCCTTAAGTTCTACTCTTAACTCCTCTGGGGAAATACCTAGGAATAAAATGGCTGCATCATAAAGTAATCAACTTTTTATCATTTTGAGGAACCAACTAGTTTCCAAATTAGCAATACTAATTTATATTCACACATAATGCTAGAGTTCTGTTATTCTGCACTGTCAAGTATTAGTTATTTTCAACTATAAAATAATTAAAGCTATTCTAAATGAAATGAAGTGGTATCTCATTGTTTTATTCACATTTCCTTAATAATTAATGATGTTGACATCTTTTTGTGTGCTACTTACTCACCATTTATATATCTCCTTTGAGAAAAAGTGTATTGAAGCCTTTTGTCATTTTTGCATATGGTTCTTGCATTTTTGCTGTGTGGATAGGGATATTTTACATGTCTTCATTTAATCTGCAATCATTTCAGTCATTTGTGGTCTTCCAAATCTTTGGTCCATTCTTGGTTATGTTATATATATGGTGTAGTTAAGGACCCAAGATCAATATTTTACATATATATGTCAACTTTTCTCTCATATTGCACACTTTCCCAGTCTCTCTTGTCAGCAGAAAGACTGTCTTTGGTCAGTTACCTTTCTGGTACATAGATGCCAAGATATCTATTTATTGTGGTTCAGTTCCCTGTTTTCACCCACTGCCCTTGGGGCAGTGATGCCAGTGAGTTCCCATTATCTTGCACTGTCTGAGCCTGGCCAGCACAAGTCCTTCTGCATCATGTGCTGCCAGTTGAACATCTGGTCCAGGATGTTTCCAGTTCATCTCCTGGCCCAATCCTCTTGCTAAGTATGAAGTGTCCAGCCTGCCCTTTCCCTGCCATTTACAGAGCAAGGATGGTCTAGTCCAATGACCTGGGAAACCAGGGGCTTGGGACAGAGGTCCCGGCTATAGCTACTGACGTGGGGAGAAATCTCTCCAGGGAAGTAGAAGGTAGAGTCCCACTGCAGATAGAGGTTGCCAGTGGAGTCTGTGTATGGCATCCATGGCCCTGGGCTATGGATGGGGGCAGGAGAACCTGTGTTTAAATCCAGCAAAAAAGTACAGGTTCTGGGTTGGGAGAGGCTGACAGAGGAAGGGAAACCACTACTGGTACAGGGCATCGGAAGCTGGATCGAGGACCTGAGCTTAGCCCCTGGGCAATCCTTGAATATGTGCAGGGCTGAAAACCCTCACTGCACTTCAGGTTGGCCAGCTGGAGAGAGAAGAGATTCCAATAAACGTTCCTTTGGAGGAAGTATTGTTAGGGTCCGATCCATTGGCCCATCTGGACCCCCTCTCAGCGCCTGTTGGACAGCTGTCCTCTCTGTGAGTCTCCTGAGAGCTTACAGGCCTTATGTTAGAGGGAGGCTGACAGGTGGCTGTCACACAGCCAGGCTGGCACACTTCTGTCTCATTGGGGCTGCAATGGATTGGGTCCCAACGGCCTTCCTGTCAGGCCAGATCTATGAGGCCTTCTTTGTCAACTCATGAGGGCCACAGGTATAGTCCTATTCTGAAGTCTCTTATTAGAAAAATATAACCAGGGGCCAGCGCTGTGGTGTAACAGATAAGGCTGTTGCCTGCAGTGACGGCATCCCATATGGGCACTGGTTTGAATCCTGGCTGCTCCATTTCTGATCCAGCTCTCTGCTTTGGCCTGGGAGGGCAGTGGAGGATGGCCCAAGTCCTTGGGCCCCTGCACCTGCATGGGAGACCCAGAAGAAGCTCCTGGCTCCTGGCTTAGGATCGGCGCAACTCCGGCCGTTGCGGCCATCTGAGGAGTGAACCAGTGGATGGAAGACCTCTCTCTCTCTGTCTCTACCTCTCCTTCTCTCTGTGTGTGACTCTGACTTTCAAATAAATGAATCTTTAAAAAATATAACCAAAGAAGAGAATGCAGGTATGGTCTCTGCTATAGTTTGAATGATAAATGTCCCCTAAAGGCCCATGTCTTAACGACTTGTTTCATGGTGATGCTATTGGGACACGGTGGAAGCTTAAGGAGGTGGGGCTAGTGAGAGGTCCTTGGGCCATCTGGGGTTTGTGCTAGGAAGGGAGCCCTCTCTAGGGAGTTGTAATAAAAGCCTGAGTTTGGGCCCAGCCTCTCTTTCTGTCTCTTGGCTTGCCATGTAATCACATGTTCTCCACTCCCTGCCAGGCACCTGTTGCAAAGCTTGCAGCATACTTTTTGGACTTTCAGCCTCCAAAAATCTTTGAACCAAATAAAGCTTCCTTTCCTCCATAAGTTGTATTAAGTATTTCACTGTAGCACAAAGACTGGCTAATATAGTTCTATCCCTGACAGGTGAGCATCTTTCTCTGATCTCCTGGAGGGAAGCCTTTGGCCTAAACTCAGCTCCAATGGGAGCCTCAGGATCAGTGTAGGATGCTGGGCACCAGGGGTCCCATGTATGAAGTTATATGGAGGCAGCTAGGTCACGTCAGGTCTGGATGGGGTCCTGGCACCACAGGGCAGTCATCACCTCTCTCTCCTTCCTCAGATGCCACTTGTGACCTCATCTGTTTACACTCTTCATCCCCCTTCTCTTCCTTCTATCTCTACCCAGGAGAAGATGTGTGTTACAAACAACTTGGGGATTTTATTCCAGGGAAGAGAATACACAGAGAGGTTAGTGTGAATGCCGGCAATAAAGACATGCGCCATGGAGGGAAGATATTGCTGGATATGTCACATGGCAGTGAGGAAGGGATGGTGCTGGGCAGAAAAAAATGTCTTCCAGTGATTTCTAAGTCCTTGTCCTAGGAGATGCATAATGTAATTACCAGCATCCTTAGAATGGAGAAGCTAGTACAAAGACAGAAGTAGAGAGATTTGAAGATGCTGCTGTATTTGAATAAGAAGGAAGATTCAGAAGCCATGGGATGCAAAGAATGCAGCTCTGGATAAAGGAAAATTTAAGAAAAGTCTCACCCAGAGCCCTGGAGGCATGGAGTCTTTTCAACACACTAGCTGTGAACCAGCAAAACTCATTCCAGATTTATGATCTCCAAAACCACAGGAGACTAAATTTACGTCACTGAGAGCCAATGGTGTTGTGATAATTGATGATACCAGTGGTAGAAAAGACAACCAGGAAGATACAAGCAGGAACAAGGGGGAAACAGGTGAAGGAAGAGTAAGCTGAGGGGTGGGCAGTGATTGAGGTTATATGGACATTCAGGGATGCAGGCAGGTAGGCTGGCAAGCACGTTGGCAACTTGGAGGATCAACCTGGAGGATAGGAGGCTGTGCAGACTCAGGTGGAAGAAGCTCAGGTGGGCATATGGAAAGCAGGATGCGGTCAGATATGCAAAGCCCAGGAAAATGGGGCAGGAAGATGGGCATTCAGTCAGGAGGCTCCCAGTTCTCATCCGTGTCCCCAGCAGGGTTATTGGAGCTTCCTCAGACGCAGGTGGATCCCGTTGTTGGACTTCAGCACAAGTCGTGCTGTAGGCTTGGGGATCCTGGTGGGATCCGGCAGCAGCTCGAAGCGCAGCAGGGTCAGGGCCACGGCCACCTTCAGCTCGTTCATGGCAAATTGCTTCCCAATGCAGTTCCTGGGCCAGGAAGGGACAGTGAAATGAGAAGCAGCCTTAGGCCCCCTTCCTCTGAGCTGGGCAGACATTGGTCCCCAAGCCCCAGGGTAGGTCTGATCATTCAGAGGCCCCCTTCATGTGGTCCAGCCTGACTTCTCTCCTCCCTCACACCTCTTCCCCAAGCATCTGTCACACTGTCCTGACCTGGATAAAGCCTACTACTTTCCAGGGCTTGCCCCGATGTCGTTTCTCCTCTCAGTAGCAGGAAATTTCTTTTAGGACAGAGCTGGTGCTCTAAGGGACAGCTTCTAATCACAGAAATATTTCAGAGAGTTCATCACTATTAGTTCACTCCCTCGACACACATCACCCCACTGCGGAGGTCACCACTCAGGGCACATGAAGGAAGGGTAGGCCATGGTATCAGGGGGTCACCCTCCAGGGAGCCACAAGAACTGAGTTACTTAGAGGGAACCAGACTGCCATGGAGAAGCTCCTGGAGGGTAAAGAGGTTGGGGACCCTCCAGCTGAAGCCCCATTGGCCTCCCACTCAGTGGTCCAGGCTTCTGCCTCTCCATCTCCTCCTAAGTCCAACAGTATCCTTGCCTTCTAATTCTACTCCAGCAGTGCCCCTTTCTTGCCTTGCCTCAGCCTCCTCAATGGAATTCTCTAATGTCCATCTCTCTCTCCCCCCTGCACTAAATCCCTAACCAGCTCAGATCCTCCAATGTTTCCCAAGCAGGCGAGACAGCATCCACATGCCTCAAGTGCATCAAACTCTCTGTGGGCTGTTGCTCACCCACCTCTTACCTGTCCACCTTCTCTCTCTGGCTCACTTTCTGTTGTCAGAATGCTATCTCTCCTCCTCCTCTCTCTGCCACTTCCTCAGGGCTCAGGCCAGTGACCTGCTGGCCCCATCCCTCTGCTATTTGTCCCTCTCCATCATGGTCTCCTAAGGCATCATTTGTGCTTTGTCCAGGTCAGTGCAAAGAACATGGATGATTCCATGAAGCATCTCAAGAAAGGAATGAGTGTGTGAGAGAAGGAAGCAAGGATTGGCATCTGCCTGGTGAGTTGGTATCTGTTTCTGTACAATAGATTTTTTACTTTGATCTTTTTATAGGCATTGACAATATTTTTTTGTCTGTATTCTATTAATTCCAGGCTTAGATAGGCTCACTAAATACTTTTACACTTTAATGAAGTTCATTGAATTTCCAAAAAAATGAGATTTTCCCAAATGGCTAAATAGTCATTCCCAGTGTCCACTTCCTCCTCCACAGAGAAGAACCACAACAGCAAATAAGCCAAGGAAGAAATTAAGAAAGAAATTTTAAAATTTCTTGAGATGAATGAAGATGGAAACATAACTTATCAAAACCTATGAGATATAGGGCCGGCGCCGCGGCTCACTAGGCTAATCCTCCGCCTAGCGGTGCCGGCACACCGGGTTCTAGTCCCAGTTGGGGCGCCGGATTCTGTCCCGGTTGCCCCTCTTCCAGGCCAGCCCTCTGCTGTGGCCAGGGAGTGCAGTGGAGGATGGCCCAGGTGCTTGGGCCCTGCACCCCATGGGAGACCAGGAAAAGCACCTGGCTCCTGGCTCCTGCCATCGGATCAGCGCGGTGCGCCGGCCGCAGCGCACCGGCCGTGGCGGCCATTGGAGAGTGAACCAACGGCAAAAGGAAGACCTTTCTCTCTGTCTCTCCCTCTCACTGTCCACTCTGCCTGTCAAAAAAAAAAAAAAAAAAAAACGGAAAAAAAAAACCTATGAGATATAGCAAAAGCTCTACTAACAGGGAAGTTTATAGCAATCAGTGCCCACAAAAAAATCAGAAAATCCCAAATAAACAACTATCACTTCACTTTAAAGAACTAGAAAAACAAGAGTAAATCAAACCCAAATTTGATAAGGAAAGACACAATAAAATACAGAGCACAAATAATCAACATAGAAACTAAAAAAGACAATATAAGTATCACTGCACAAAAAGAGCTTGTTTACTGAAAATATACATGAAATTGATTAAACCTTAGATAGGCTAACCAAGCAAAAAAGGGTTAAGATTCAAATACAAATAATGGAAATGAAGAAATTATAACTTATATCACATAATAAAATGCATTGTTAGATTACTATGAATAACTATATGCCAGCAAATTCAATACCCTGAAAATATAGACATGCTTTCAGACATATATGCCTTACAAAGATTGAATTATAAGGAAAAAGAATACCTAAATAGACCAATAATGCGTAGTGAGATTGAATCAGCAATTAAAAATTTTTCCATCAAAGGAAAGCCCAGGACCATATGGTTCCACTCTTGAATTCTACCAACATTTAAAGAATTAACCCCAATCATTTTAAAATAATCAAAATATAGAAGAGGAAGGAATATTTCCAAATTCGTTTTTTGAGACCAGCATTACCTTGATACCAAAACCAGATAAAGATACAACAAAGAAAGAAAGCTACAGGAAAATATCCTTGATGAACATAGATGCAAAAAAACTCAATAAAATACTAGCAAATTGAATCCAATAGCACATTAAAAAGACTACTTTCCAGGAACAAAAGGGGTTCAACCCAATGATGCAAGGATGGTTCAACATATGCAAATTAATAAATGTGATACAATAGGTTGACAGAAAGAAAGACAAAAATTCATATGATCATCTCAATAGACACAGAAAAGCTATTTGATAAAATTCAACATAGCTTCATGATAAAAAATCTGACCAAATGAGGCACAGAAGGAACATATCTCAACATACTAAAGGCCATATTTAAGAAAAACATCTAAAATGCTAACATACTAACAATAATAGCTAACATCATGTTGAATGCAAAAAACAAAACAAACAAACAAAAAAAAAACCTGAAGGTGTTCTCTTTAAGATCTGGAACAGGACAAGGATAGTCACTTTCACCATTTTTATTCAACATAGTGCTGGATATCCTAGCCAGAGCAATTGGATGAGAAAAAAAAAGGCATCCTAATTGGAAAGGAGTAAATCAAAATGTCATTCTTTGCAGATGACATGATCTTACATATAGAAAATCTTAAAGACCCAACTAAAAGTCTACCAGAACTAATAGTCAAAGTTAGCAAAATTGCAAGATAAAAAGTCAATGGAAAAAATTAGTGGTGTTGTTATACACCAGTGGTAAATCATCTGTAAAAGAAATTAAGAAAAAAATCCCATTTCAAATATCTACAAAAAATAAAATTAAATATCCAATAATAAATTCAATAAAAGAGGTAAAAGATCCCTGCAATGAAGATTGTGAATCACAATGAAACAAATTGAAGAGGATACAAAGAAATGGAAAGACAGCCCATGTTCATGGATAGGAATCAATATCACCAAAATGTGCATACCACTCAACCCCTATCCAAAATCCAATTTCATTTTTCACAGAACTATGGAAACAGCACAAAAGACCCTGAATAGCCAAAGCAATCAAGAACAAAAAGAACAAAGCAGGATGCATTATATCACCTGATTTTAAAATATATTACAAAGCTACATAACTAAACTAGCAGAGTATTGGTATAAAAACATATCCACAGATCAAGGGAACAGAATAGAGGCCTTAGAAACAAGCTCATATATCTATAGGCAAGTCTTCTTTAACAAATATGCTAACATATATTTGGGAAAAGGGTAGTTTTTTAAATAAATGATGTTGGAAAAATTGGATACCCACATGCAGAAGAAGGAGACTAGATCTCTATCTCCTGTCATGTTAACCAAATGGATTAAAGTACCAAATGTGAGACCTGAAACATTGAAACTTCTGGAAGAAAACATAGGGAAAATGCCTCAGAACATTTGAACAGACAAGAATTTCTAGATCAGATCCCCAAATCACAGGATATAAAAGCAAAAATAGACAAATGGAATTTCTGCACAGCAAAGGAAACAGCCAAAACATTGAAGAGACAGGCTACAGAATGGGAGAAAATATTGGCAAGCTACACATTTGGCAAGGTGTTAATATACAGAATATATGAGGAGCTCAAACAACTCAAAGGCAAAAAACTCAAATAATCTAATTTAAAAATAAGCAATTGATCTAAACATACATTTTGCAAAACAAAACACACTAATGACCAACAGGTACATGAGAAGATGCTCAGCACCACTAATCATCAGGGAAAGACCATTCAAAGCTGCAATGAGATGGCACCTCATTCTACTAAGATTGATTAGTATCAGCAAGGCAAAAGACAACCAGCGTTGGTGAGGATGTGGAGAAAAGGGAACATTCGCACACTGTTGGTAGGAATATTTTAAGTACAGCCATTGTGGAAAATAGTGGCTGTTCCTCAGTAAGCTAAAAATAAAACTGCCCTATGATCCAGCAATCCCACTCCAAGGCATATATTCACAAATTTATCTGTTTGAGAGATAGGTGCACTTTGATGCTTACTGCAGCACTATTCACAATAGCCAATAAATGGAAACAGCTGAAGTGTCCATCCAGTGATGAATGGACAAAATGTGATACATATGCATAACGAGGTATTACACAACCATAAAAGAGTGAAATCTTGTCATTTCCAGCAACATGGATGGAACTTGAGGTCATTATGTCAAGCCAAAAAAGTCAAGTACAGAGAAACAAATATTCATGATCTCAATCATCTGTGGAGCCTAAAAAATAGGCGATCTTATAGAATTTAAAATATAATGATTACCAGCAACTGGAGAAGAAAACTGGGGAGAGAAGATGGAGAAAGGTTTGGGCACTCGGTATAGCTAGGCAGCTGTAAGATGTTTTGGGGTTCTCTTGTATCATAGAGTATCTACAGATAATGTTAGTGTACTACATATTTATCTACTAAAAACTAGGAGATAGGATTTTGAATGTTTTTACTATAAAGAGATGTTAAGTATTAGAAAAGGTAAATATATGTTAATTGGACATTACACAATGCATACATGTAACAAAACATCACATAATACCCCCAAAATATGTAAAATTGGTGTAGTCTGTGAAAATTTAAAAAACAAATACATTTTTAAAAATTAAAAGATATCAACTCAAAGTGGATCAAAGTCCTAGACTGTAAGACATGAAACTATGAAACTACCAGAAGAAACACAGCAGAAACATTTCCAGACATTGACACAGGCAATGAGTTTTTTGAATAGGACCTGAAAAGCATAGGGAACAAAAGCAAAAATAGATGAATGTGATTAAATCAAACAAGGAAGATTGTGCCCAGCCAAGAAAACAATCAATAAAGTGAACAGACAACCTATAGATGAGAAAGGATTTTTGGAAACTATTTATCTGACAAAGGATCAATATCCAGAAAACATTAAAGAAATAAACAAAAAATGAGAAAAGCAAGTAATCCAATTAAGTGAAAAAATGACATGAATAGGCTGTTCTCAAAAGAAGAAATTCAAATGGCCAAGGAATAAATGAAAAAAATGCTCAATATCATGAATTGGTAGGAAAATAAAAATTGAAGGCACAATGTATATTATTTCACCGCAGTCAAAATGGCTAGTATTGGCCGGCGCCACGGCTCAATAGGCTAATCCTCCACCTAGTGGCGCCGGCACACCGGGTTCTAGTCCCAGTCGGGGTGCCGGATTCTGTCCCGGTTGCCCCTCTTCCAGGCCAGCTCTCTGCTGTGGCCAGGGAGTGCAGTGGAGGATGGCCCAAGTGCTAGGGTCCTGCACCTCATGGGAGACCAGGAGAAGCACCTGGCTCCTGCCTTCGGATCAGTGCAGTGTGCCAGCCGCGGCGGCCATTGGAGGGTGAACCAACGGCAAAGGAAGATCTTTCTCTCTGTCTCTCTCTCACTGTCCACTCTGCCTGTTTAAAAAAAAAAAAAAAAAAGAACAAAATGGCTAGTATCAAAAAGACAAAAAATAGCAAATGCTGGTGTGGATGTGGAGGAAAAGGAGCTCATTTATATTGCTGGTGGGAATGTAGACTAGTAGAGCCAATAGGGACAGCAGTATGGAGGTTCCTCAGAAAACTGAAAATAGAGCTACCTTATGATGTAGCTATCCCTTTTGGGTATACATATCTCCAAAGGAAGTGAAATCAAAGATTCAAAGAGATACTTGCATGCCCATGTTTATTGTTGCATTACTGCAAACTACTTAAGATGTGAAATCAATTATCCATCAAAGTTTAAATGTACAAAAGGTGTGTTGTATATATACACAGTGGGATATTATTCAGGCATAAGAAATAGGATATTCTATTGTTTGTAGCCAATGGATGGGCCAAGATCTTGTCCATCATGTCAAGGGAAGTGAGTCAGGCACAGAAAGACAAACACCCCCATGTTCTGTCTCATATGAGGAAGCTAAAACCAACTAGTGTAGAATAGTGATTACTAGAGGTTGGAAAAGGTCATCTGAATGGGACAGAGGGAGATTGGATAATGGTACAAAAACAGAAAAATAAATTCTAGTGTTCACTACAGCTTACAGCCACTTCCTAGATAGATTTTAAATAAATAGAGGAATGGAGTGCAAACATAGAATACTAATAAGGAAATGGAAATGTTAGTCTAATTTTAACAGTGCATAATATATGTATTTATTGCTACATCAGTATTTATTATTATATGTTGATAAAAATGTTAAAATGTTTTATCCGATGGAAATGCTAGCTAATTTGATTTAATCATCACACATTGAAAACATGTATTGAATTATCACATTGTATCTCAAATTAAATTTTAAAAATAAAGAAAAAGGGAAAAAATGAACAATGTATTCTGATGGTATCAGCTCTGCACTAGAAATTGCAGTACCTAACACACCACTGTCCTCTGTTGACTACAGCACCATTTGCAGACAATTCTTATGGGGAGGCTCTCAACCTTGAAATAAATCAAATTCTGAAGAAATAATTTTGAACAAGCAATTTGCTCACAGCTTGCTCAATGCAAGCTGAGTCACTGTTTAAAGAAATCTCAGAATTATGGACTCAGAAAAATCTGGTTTCTACTAAGTCCTTCTGCAGTTTATGGCAATCATATCTCACTGGAGGATTCCCTCAGTCCTTGTGGGTGTTTGGAGCAGTCAATTCAGAGTGTGCTACCAGATCATCAGCAATTTCAAGTGTGTTTCATATTTTACGCACCAGTGTTTTCTGAGCATTCTACTGCCCCCATTTTTGTCCATGTTAGACTAAGTGGAATGGGAGAGTGGTACAGAGATCCCACTCCACAATACAGATTTCTGCCAAGCAGGGAAGTAGGCATAGATATTTGAATATTAACATGCAGTGAAACTTTTCTCAGAATAGAACACAAAACATACCAGACTGACACATTGGTGGGACCCTTTCTACAAAGGAATACGGTAAACTTGCAAGTATGGGACTGACACTTAGGGCACGCAAGGATACTGGACAACAAACACTTGTAAATCAATCCTTTGGTTCAGCCACTGGAGGATTAACAAGTTAAGTAGAAAGGGCAGTGGGCTGAATCGAGAATGTGTGGAAGGGAATAAATCCACCCCTTATGAATCCTGGAAATTGAGAAGTGTAACAACTAATGTTTAGTATACCCGAGACTATCTAAGTCTCGCTCCCACAGTGAGGACATCCCCAGAATGTACTGAACTCTGGAAGCCTAGTGACGCTGAATTTTGGATGGCCGCAGGGAAGGGCAATGTGTCAACATCTCCGTGCTAGGCTATGAAATGCCACCTCTCTCTTGTACACAAACACCCATATAAGGCTTCCTTCTCACAGACACTAACAAAATGGGCCAGGTCTGAAGATCCTACATAAGAACACAGGAGAGGGGGCCGGTGCCGTGGCTCACTTGGTTAATCTTCCACCTGCGGCGCCGGCATCCCATATGGGTGCCGGTTCTAGTCCCAGCTGCTCCTCTTCCAGGCCAGCTCTCTGCTGCGGCCCAGGAAGGCAGTGGAGGATGGCCCAAGTGCTTGGGCCCCTGCAACCGCATAGGAGACCAGGAGGAAGCACCTGGCTCCTTGCTTTGGATTGGTGCAGCGCTGGCCGTAGTGGCCATTTGAGGGGTGAACCAACAGAAGGAAGACCTTTCTCTCTGTCTCTCTCTCTCTCTCACTGTCTGTAACTCTACCTGTCAAAAAAAAAAAAAAAGAACATAGGAGAGCACAAACATTGGAGATGTGCCCAGAACTCTCCCCCCTTCCCCTCCCCACGACCAAACATGGGATGCTCACCGTGCTCCCCCTGAGAAGGGCAGGAAAGCGTGGCTGTGGCGAGCAGAACCTGGTGTGAAGCGGGAAGGGTCGAACACCTGTGGAGAGCACCAGGGCCAGGATGGGTTAGGGGGGGTGTTAAGTTGCTGCTTGTGACCCACAAGGGGACAGGAAGTGGGAGCTAGAGGAGACGCCCCTGAGAGACCACCCCCTGCCCTCCCAGGGGCCCTCATACCTCTGGGTTTGGCCACACATTCGGGTTGTGGTGAAGGCCATAAATGGAGAGTGTGACTGTGAAACCTGTAGGGCAGGTAGCAGACAGAGACAAGGGGGTAAGATCCCACTCCCTCGGCCAGCAGGGCTCCTGCATGCGCTAAAGATGTGGGTGCCACAAATCCTCACTTTGTACAAGCTAATCCTCTAACAGATGGGTGGGGTGGGCTTGACAAAGCAACTGAGCACAGATGAGGAGCAGAAACCGTGAACCCAGGAATGAGAAGCAAGAAACAATAGGAAGCTCACTGTTGGAAGTCACTAAAGTGAAAACTGACACTGATCAAATACTTTCCCTGAGCTGTTGGACAACATACATTAACTCAGTATTCACAAGCATCCCTTAAGAAGACAACTGCTCATGCTATTTTGTAGAGGTAGCTCGGTCTCACAAAAATGCATGCCTTGCCAAGGATGAAGCACCTAAGAAGTGCCGGGGCTGGGGTCAGAACCAATGGCAGGTATGCCAACAGGGGCTTTCTACAGCAGCTGGAGCAAGCTCTGGTCATCAGCGGCTCTGTTATCAACCAGAGGGCTCCTCACAGACTGAACCAAAAGTGAAGCTGACATAGGGTCCCTGATCTCCTTTATACACCAGGACCATTAGGAAAAAACACTTCTCTCGCTCCCTGAGCAGATTTTCTCTACAGGCCTCCACATCTCCTGTTCATGCTACAAGCCCATGATACGGACAGAGGCGCACCTATACAGTGAGATTTTGATGAGTTTAAGCTCCATGTCAAGCACTTCCTGCACGTCATCCAAATTACCAAGTAAGCGTCGATTACGATGACAAGGAAAGGAGAAGCAGAGATTCAGGACTGAGGATGCATGGCTGTATTCCAATCTTCTTGTGTCCCCAATGAGTGCTTAGGTGAGTGAGGGTGGGAAGGTCATACCCTTGGGGAGGGAGCGTCCATCAGGGAAGGTGACAGGTGAGCTGAGGTCTCTACTAATAGCTGGCACCGGTGGGTAGAGTCTCATCGCCTCCTTGATGCACATGGTGGTGTAGGGCATCTGGTCCAGGTGCTCCCTGAAACAAAGCCCAGGCAGAGGAGGAGGCAGGGCTGGGCCCCCCAGGGCTTCCCCTCCCAGACAGGCAGGGCCCTCCCCCACCGCCCCCTGGGCTCTCACTCACCAGGTGATGGAGGCTCCGTCCCCCAGGAGGCCCTGGATCTCCTCGCGGCACCGGTGCTGATGCTCGGGGTGCGTGGCCAGGGCATAGAAGATCCAGGAGATGCCGCTGGCCGTGGTGTCGTGGCCCTCGAACATGAACGTGTCCACCTCGGCGCGGAGGTCCTGGTCGGACAGGCTGCTCCCGTTCTCCATCTGGGGGAGGCCACAGCGGGAGAGAGGGCACGGGCTCTGTCCCTGGCTCTGTGCTTCCAGGCCAAGCTCGGGCCTGCCCTGCACACACTGACCTTGGCAAAGAGGAGGACGTCCAGGAAGTCCAAGCGCCTCTTCCTCCTGACCTTCTCCAGCTCCCCCTCCTGCTGCAGCTGAGCCTTCCTCTGCTGGATCACTCGGTCTGTGCCAGAGCAGTGGGTACCGGAGCAGCTGAGAGCTACATCATTCCCAAAAGCCCCCCTCCTACCCGCCCCAATGCCAGTCCCCTGAGAGGTCAGTGTGGGTGTGCAGACGAGTGACTGTGTGACACATGGGCAGGCAGCAGCATTTTCTCTTTCTTTATTTGAAAGAGTAACAGAGAAAGCGAGTGAGGGGGTATGTGTGTGTGTGTTGTGTGCACTTGTACATGTGAGTGAGAGAGAGAGAGAGAGAGAGAGACGAGAGAGATCTTCCATCTGCTGCTTTACTCCCCAGATGCCTGTAACAACTGTGATTGGGCCAGGCTGAAGCCCGGAGCTAGGAACTCCATCTGGGTCTCCCACGTGCATGGCAGGGATCCATGTACTTGGGCCATCATTTGCTGTCTCTCGGTTGCACTAACAGGAAGCTGCATTTGTAGTGGAGGTGAGACTCTGTCCCAGACACTTGGATAAAGGATGTGTCTCCAGAGGTCGTCTGACTCACTTTGCCCCAGCATCCTCCCTCCAGCCTCCTGTGAGGCCGGGCAGGCCTCCCTGCGTTAGCACAGGCCAGGAGCCACAGCTGGATGTTGCTGGGTTGGGGCCTCATCCATCCATCACCAATGTGATGACCCAGGAAGCCCTGCAAGCACCTGGCACCCCAGCATCTCAGATCCCAACCCCTGAACCTAGGAAGTTCCCAGCTCCTACGGGGAGTCAGGGGGCCTGCCTCTGCCTGGGGAGTCGGGGTTGGCTCCTTTATGCAGTGCTCGCTCAAGGAGGGGGACACAGGAGGAGGAGGCAGCACCTGTGTGCTCATGGGCGAGCTGGCAGGCACGGTGGGACAAGCGGCCTTCAGGGCTCAGCCTGTAGATGGTGTCGCTCTGGTGAAAGATGTTCCTCACCCGGGCAAACACCAAGTTGTTCAGGTCCCCAACAGCCTGGATGTAGGACTGGGAATTCCTGAGGGAGAGGACGTGGACGAGGTCAGAGTGGAGGGGCCTCTGATCTGCAGGCAGAGTGGGGCTCTGGGAGGAGATTCCTCCCCACACTGGGGACAGGCAGCGTGGAGACACACACCACTCCTGTTTGCAGTCCTTGTGCCCCTGGGGCCTCTGTAGGATGGCAGGAGAGGCAGGCTCCCACCTGTGCTGGGTGGGGGTGTTGGGGGTGGGGATTCAGGGATCCACGGTTGAAGCAGGGGCAATGTGGTCTGCAGTTAGAGCTTGGTGTGGGCTAGGTCAGCGTCTTGCCTTTTGTGGAGGTGAGCATGCAAGTCCCTCCCACCCCCAGCTGGCTGGCAGGTGTGGGCACACTGATGGTGAGCACAACGACCCTGCTGGTGGAGGCCATCACGGACCTGCTGTCCAGCTGGACGCTGCCCTGGTAGCTGAAGGCGCACTTCATGATGGTGTCCAGGGTCATCAGGGAGATGTCTTGGAAGACCTCCAGGGAGGAGTCCTGGCTGACCAGCTGCTCCCATTTGTCCTGTGGGCGAAGGGCATTGAGCTTCTTGATTGTCCCATGAATTCTGTTCATGGTAAGCTGGGCTCTGTTCCTGCATCTCCAGAGAGGAGTGATATTTTTCTTACAAACTTTTCAGTCAAAGGTAAACGTAAATGCTCCTAATGTTCTACACTAATTCTGAGATTCTGTTATGACTTTGGTTTGTGAGATGTTTTTCCTTAAGGTGACAGGAAGTAGACTGATGTTGATGTTCTGATACTTAGCTAGTCGTGAGGCACTGGTAGGACTCAGTGTTTGGGGACAATTGCATTTGCCAAGAGAGAAGAAGAAAGCCTCAGGGAACCCTAATGGGAGAAGATCAGAGATTTCAATCCCTTTCATCCATCAAACATTTGCTGGGCACAGCTGGGTGAGAAACCAGAGTTCTGATGAGAGGAGACGGTATGGCAGGTAGGACTCATAAATGTAGATCTGGTGTCTATTTCACTTCAAATGCGCTTGGATGACCTGGGTCCCAAGCCAGAGCCTGTGCAGCGACATCCTGGGGTTTTCCCCTACCACAGACACTGCCGTTCCCCAACTCAGACAGCAACAGACTGCCCGGCTGTGCAGTGGGAATGACTGTTCCTCCAGTCGTCTGTGCTGAAGACTTGGAAGTGGGAAGAGCGGGATCTGTGTGTCTATGCCTTGTCCTCACTGCCCCACCCACTTTGGGGGACCATCTTCTCACAGTAATGGTCTAAGAGAGTTTCCTCTGTGTCTGATGGCTGTCTGTGAGGGACACCTGTGCTTGGGAGGGGAGTTGCTGGGAGTGAGTGTTGGAGGTAAGAGGGAGAGATGGGCTCACCAGCATGATTTGGACGGAGTCCACCATGAGCCCCACGTAGGGCTTCAGGATGTCGTAGTGGAAGGCTGGGGTGAGCATGCGCCGGTGCTGGAACCATGGCTGCCCGTTCAGCAGGAGCAAACCGTACCCTGGATAAGAGATGGGTGTGTGGATGTGTGTTAGGAGACTAGATCTTAGAGACCTTTCAGGATAATTTGGGAGGAACAGGTGAGGAAAACCCAGATGGTGAGATATCCTGAAAAATGGCAGGAAAGGCACAGGGCATTACACGAATATGAATTTCCCTGCGGGGCTGATATATGTGAATGAAAGATTGACCAGAGCTGTGTCAGGTGAGGGTCATACATGTTGGGCTGAGAACGTCTCGAGAGAACTGAGAAGTGCTGTGGAATGAGCTGAGCCTCATGGGGGCTCCCACCAAGGTTAGCAAGGGGCAGGTATCTGTCTAGAAGAAGAAAAATGAGACTTAATGATTTTTTCTTGAGCCAAAGAGATAGCTCTTTGGCAAAGCTAACTGGCAAGTGCGTGCAGTCCCGGTTTAGATGTACGTACCAATCCAGGGAGCCACGAATGTGTAGGAACCACGAGACTTTGGATCTGAAAGGTAAGTAAGGGCTTTATAGGAAACTGGCCACAAGCAAATAGAGCAGCCCTCTAAGTAGCTGTGGTTCAGACCATGGGCTGCCACCAATTCTGATGATTGGCATTTAGGAGTTGGTTCCACTCACTCCCCATTTGCCTCCCATCCCTTTCTGTCTTGTCCTGATAATCCATTGTGCTCAAGAAGGCAGACTCAGGGCACCAGCAGCAAGCACCCACAGGACCAGCAGGATGAGTTTACGGGAAACTCAGGCTTTGTCTTCTGTCCTAAAGAATAAGACAACAAAGCCTGCCAGGGCAGCCAACAGTTGGAAGTTCCAAACTCAAGGCAGTGTGGATATGAAATTAGTTTTGAGATCTAGGGCAATTTACATAAAAGATCACCTCAATCTATTTGCAAAACAAAGAACAATAAAAGAGGGGTGTGGGGATAAGAAATTCAGCCCCAGGGCTGGCGCTGTATTGCAGTGGGTTAAAGCCCTGGCCTAAAGCACTGGCATCCCATATGGGCGCTGGTTCTAGTCCCAGCTGTCCTCTTCCAATCCAGCTCTCTGCTATGACCTGGGAAAGCTGTGGAAGATGGCCCAAGTCCTTCGGCCCCTGCACCTGCTTGGGAGATCTGGAAGAAACTCCTGGATCCTGGCTTCAGATAACACAGCTCCAGCCATTGCGGCCATCTGGGGAGTGAATCAGTGGATGGAAGACTTCTCTCTGTGTGTCTCTACCTCTCTCTGTAACTCTGTCTTTCAAAAAAAAATCTTTAAAAAAAAATAAATTCAGCCCCACATAGTTGTTTTCAACATTGAAATGTAATTAAATATCTCGTCCTTAGGCTGGATCATGAACTTATTGGAGAGCTGGTGGAGGGTTCACAATTTCTCCTTCATTGCCACTATCTTCTGGAATTTTCCATTCCCTAAGGCACATACTCAAGAGTGAAGGGCTGCTCCAGGTGTAATAGGAGTATTTCTCTCACCTGATCTCCCCAGGATCACCTTCATGTAGTCCGGGTCATAGAGCTGGACTCGGACTTTGTTGCCCCCTATCCAGTGAGGACAGGCTCTTGGGAACTTCTCTACCCATTTCAGAATCTGTTGAAGCTCCTGGTTCATCTGGAACTGTAGCCAAGGGAAGGACAAATTGATGCAAATCTTCATTTAGTTCTATTCTTTTTAATGAGAGTGATGGGTGGGATGACCACGGGAGGCAGTCTGGATCTGTCAGCAGAAGCGAGGGTTTTGGAGCTGTTTCTGATGAATTGGCCCCCCAGAACTTGACCTAAGGCCAGATTCTGTCCCCGCTGTTGGACAGAGCTATGAGCCTTCCTTCAGTGCTGCCTGAGTGTTGCCAAAAAAATTTTGGGAAAACACTAGTACAACTATTTCAACGGATAACAGCTATGACAACTTGTTGTGACTTGGGAGGCAGTTAACTCAGTTCATATAGAAAGCAAAATAGATTATGTTAAAATTTCTAAATTTATCCATTAGGTTTATTTTATCATGCTGGTTCTGGTAGTTTCAATATTATTATTGCATACACGCACATATTTATTAAGATGAAATGGTATTTGGGATTTCTTTGGCTGAGAGAAAAAAAAGAATAAGTAGAAACAGTGTGCATGTTATTCTACATGCTGAATACCCATGGATTTATAGCAGGAAGTTTGGGTGCATAACTATCAAAATAGTATGCTCTATGATTTTGAGATTTTGGGTTTCCTACTCTCAGTTTCATTTTTCATTGAAAAGAATCTTGTAAGCTCCCCACAGTCTAGTGTCATCTTTCGAAATTCCTCAATGCGGAACACAAGCCTTTCTGGCTCCTCTGGTCTTTCCTCCTCCATGCTGGCAGTTCCACGTGACCCATTTGTTTCATCCCTCAGGCTACTGCTGTTCTCCTGACTCCACAGCCATGCCTCTGCACAGGTTCCTCCCTCAGCCTGGACTGCCCCTCCTCTCTGCCGTGGAGCCACGCCCTCACCCCACCCCCACCCCCCGCCTCCCCCCAAGCTTTCAACACTCAGCTTAGCTTTACCCCATCTGTAATCCTCACACACATTGCTCCTAGAGATGTTCTGTGTAGTCAGCTCTTTTCAGTTCAGCTGCTTCTGCAGAACTCAAAGCAACTGCCTGCTGTAGCCAATCTGTGCCCACGTCTCTGGCAACCATTGTCGCCAGCCCTGAGCAAGCTGGCCCTGCTCTGGGTCGTGCTTCCCAAGCACCTACTGTGTGCCAAGCACTGGGTCAGGATAGAGCATGGGGCTAGCAGTCCAGTCGGGCAGGCAGGAAGCTTGGGAGGCCACGCAGTAGAAGACATTGCGATTGAGATGGAAGGAAGCCCAAGCACCTGGGAAGCTTTGGAGGGGGACCTGACTCAGAAGTGCTCATTCACTGATTGCGTCACCATTTACTAAGGAGCTCTTGGGTGACCAAGATGAGTCAGATGAGCCCTCCCAGAACACTGAGGAAAAGGCCCGAGTTAGGTTAGCACTGCTGTTTCCTGTGAGAAGGACCAGTCACAGGAACAGGAGCTACCGCTTCCATTCCTAGGAGAGCCAGAAGGACTGCCTGGGGAAGGCGGCTTGGGGCTGGGCCTAGGCAAGAGAATCGAGGGACAAGGTTCCTCCAGGCCAAGAGCCCAAGGTAAGCAGAGACCCAGAGGTTGGAATGCACGGACAGGCAGGGAGGATAGTGGAGAAGTTAATGCGGAAGAGGACAGGAAGAGGGGATGAGAGGGAGAGGGGCTGAGGATCCTCTGTGCGGGGCTGTGATGTGATTTCACTTACTGTCTGGGGCTCCACTCTGCTGATGTTCCTTCGGCCTTCTCTATGAACCGAGAGATGTCATCTCTGCACTGGCCACCTCCTAAACGTGTGTTGTTTTTTTTTTTTGACAGGCAGAGTGGACAGTGAAGAGAGAGAGACAGAGAGAAAGGTCTTCCTTTTTCCGTTGGTTCATCCCACAATGGCCGCTGCGGCCAGTGCGCTGTGGCCGGCGCACCGCGCTGATCCGATGGCAGGAGCCAGGTACTTCTCCTGGTCTCCCATGGGGTGCAGGGCCCAAGCACTTGGGCCATCCTCCACTGCACTCCCTGGCCACAGCAGAGAGCTGGCCTGGAAGAGGAGCAACCGGGACAGAATCTGGCGCCCCAATCGGGACTAGAACCCAGGGTGTGGCACTGCAGGCAGAGGATTAGCCAAGCGAGCCACAGCGCCTGCCTTAAACTTGTTTTCTACACAGTCTCTCCCACCCTGTGTGACCCTCACCGTCTGTCCCCATGCCTGCTTCTGTGTTCCCTGTCCACAGGTGGCAGGGCCGGGGTGGGGATGTGCTGGCCTTCCCAATCCCTTGACTTGCCCCCTTCCTCTTTCCGGTCACTCCATACACCTGAGTTGAGCCCCTGTGCCTGACTGTGTGCTGGGCATTGGGCATAGAGAGGCACATGTGCAAGAAGCTCACAGTTCAAAGGGTGCTGCAGGAGAGCTGGGCGGGGTCAGACCCTGTTTAATGTGTGATTCGATACTCCTGGCCTGGAAGACAGAGCGCACTGTCCCCTTCATGAATTCCCATTCTGGAAAATTCCAGAGCTCAGGCAAATTGAGCTCTTTGGTTCTCTACAGCTGACACGAGCCACCCACCTGGCAGTGAGCTCTTCCTGTGTCCTCTCCTTCTGAGACCCCCATGCCCTCCACACAGTGTGACCCCACAGAGGAACGATTCCATCAACTGATGTCTCTGTCCCTGTGAGTGTTCAGGGCCGGGCACAGAGGATGGCACTGAGTGACAGGGAGAGGGAAACTTCTAGAAGCCTAATTCTTTGAGAACAGCTGCAGCTGCTGGGCGCGGATGTGGAGAGGCTCAGTGGGGTGGGGGGTGTTGGGGACTCAGAAAAAGTCCTTGCTCTTCAAGTGCAGGGCTGCCAAAATGGAGGACAGGTGTGTAGGAGGAGGGAGTGTGTGACAGGCCTGGGTCACAGCAGGACAGGATGCCGGCGAGACTGGGAGGTCCCCATTGCTAGGACGAGGCCAGGGATGAGAGGCAGTCTGAGCGTCCCCTCGTGGCGTGTGCGCCTGTGTCCTGGGACCCTGATAACTGGGTTCTGAGAGCCCCGGCCACCCCTGCCTCCCGGTCCCTGTCCCGCTCCTTCCTACCTCTCGGCTGTGCCCCAGGAGCCAGTGGAAGGGCGGGCACGGGAACTGCTGGAGGGCTCTGAGCAGCCACTGGCGGCGCAGGTAGAGCTGAGCTGCCTTGAGCAGCAGCAGGAGCAGGCCCAGCAGGGCCGCCACTTGGAGGAGCCCGGAGAGGCTGCCCGGGAGCCGGGTGGGGCTCAGTGCAGACACGCTCATGGTGCAGCGGCTCTGGACCTGTGACTGACCTTCTCTGTCACTCACTCCCGTGAGGAACTTTGCTTAAGTCCTGGGAGGTTTGTCCCACCCACTTGAGGGGCGGGTAGGGCTGAGGGCAGAGTTTGGATCTCCTCTTTCAGAGTGGTTTAACCCTAAAGGATCCATCTTGAGCAACAGTGAAAGTAAAGCTTTAGTAATGGGTGGTGACAACGGCCATGCACACACCCACTTTCCCCTGTCCATATTGCTTAGAACTATGCAATGAACACCTACTGTGTGCCAGGCAGTGTGCTAGTACCACAACTTCTGGGAATCCACAGTCTAGCTTACCAAGGTCACAGGAGTCCCTGACTTCAGTGATGAGACCCTGAGAACAGAGAAAAGAGGAGATGTGTTCAGAGGAAGACACCTGAGGTGGATCCAAATCATTCTCTGTGGGGCTCGAACGCTGCCTACCTGGCTGCCCTGGAGCCCTCCCCAGGGCTTAGCCAGTACACAACCCATTAGTACCCAGGTGACCGTGCCAGTGGGTGGATCACTGGACATGAGCTCAGGAGGTTGCAGGCCCAGGTCAACCTCACTGCCTGTGCAGCCAGAAACTTGCCCTCTCTGAGGCTCAGTGTCTGCTTTCATGACGTCAGTTAATAGGTCGACAGAGCCCGATAGAACTGTCCACTCCTACAGTCATTCATTCCTTCAATAAGCACTTGTTGCCCTCACAGTCTCATGGGTAAAAGCAGTCAATAAATCAGGGCAACAACATACTGAGGGGCTTCAAAAAGCTGGGGGAAAGTAGAATTCACACACAAGTTTATTTTGTTGCAAAAATTTTTGAAATCCGTTGCATATATTTTCTTTTTTTCATTTTACAACAAATGTTTATTTATTTATTTGAAAGGCAGAGGGCAGAGAAATGGTGAGACACAGAGAGAGGTTGTCTACCTGCTGGTGCCCCTGCTCGAAGCCGGGATCCAGGAACTCTATCTGAGTCTCCCACATGGGTGGCAGGAACCCACGTGTTGGGGCCAGTGTGTGCTGCCTCTCAGGTGCGCTAGTAAGGAGCTGGGTTGCAGCGCAGAGTAGTGCTCTGCTATGGGATGCAGGCAGCCAGACAGCGGCTTAGCGCACTGTGCCGCCATGCCCGCCCCTACTTTTTTCTTCATACACAATTTCCCATGAAATTTTGATGACCCCGATATGAAAATGCTATATTGAAGGCATAAAATGTCCAGCCAGCAAAGAAGAATATTAAAACAAAACAAGTACGGGAGTCCACAAGGGGACAGTACCAGGTAGAGGCTCAGGACTCAACTCGGCCCTGGAGAGTCTGAAAGAGCAGACGAATAGGATGTGTCAACTTGCAAGTTTCGCACACTGGCATGATTTTTTATCTCTGAGATAGCATATTTTCAATTTACATGATCGTCAAAGGCTTAATGCTGCACTAACTAAGGAGTTCAACAACCAAACAAAAGAGCACAGTTTAGCAGGAGCGCAGGCAAGGGCCATAAACAGCAGTGAAATGAAAAGGCGCCAACTTGACGGCGATGCAGTCCCGGCCGCACGGCCGCAGACCGTCAGAGCCATGCGGTGCCTCCCTCCTAACGACACCCGACAAAGATTCAAACAAGGTGGGGAGAACATTGTGTTTCAGCAAAACTGATCTACACAGACATTTCTTTCTCATTCTGTTTCTGTTTCTTGTTTTTTTTTAAAAAAAAATTGTATTAATATAAATAGAATAGATCTCATGTGTTTTGTAGACACAATACTAAGAAGATACCAACACTTCCCTCCCTCCCTTAATCTCCCCTCTCTCCCTCAATTCCCCCTCCTTCCTTTCTTTCTTTCCTTTATCCTTTAATTTTTGCAATAACATAATTTCAATTTACTTTATGATCACAGACTTAATTCATCACCAACCATAATGTTCAATAAGTAAAAGTAGAAAGACTACTGTCCCACAGGAATATAGATAAGAGCTATAAGCAAATAGTTCCAAAATGACAAAAATCATATATATTCTCTGATATGTGGTGGTTAAGTTAGAATATATATATATATATATATTTGTGTATATATATATATATGAATGAAACTGACATCTTACGATTTGATTTGTTTAAATTTTAGTTCCCACATATAAGGGAGAACATGCAAAATTTGTCCTTCTGTCTCTGGCTTGCTTGGCTCACCATGATGTCCTCCAATTGCAACTATCTTGATGTAAATGATAGCATCTCGCTCCTTTTTAAGGCTGAGTAATATTCCAGTGTGTATGTGCATGTTTCGATACCACTCACCCTGACTTTTTCAATGACTGTTCACCCCAGGCCAAATCCAGTGCCTGGAATTCAGAGGGGAAAGGGCAGAAGAGAATTCAGGTGGCCTTGCTGGCTGCAGCTCCCACAGAAACACGTGTTCTTCCTGACCTGCCCTTGCACCTGTCTACATTCCTCCCAGGCAGCAGCTCCAACTCTTGGTCACACCTCTCGGCACCTGTTTTGTTACACTCTGTTTGGGCATAGATTTCTTTTTCCCTTAAATTGTAGGCCCTTTCCAAACCCAAGGGAGAAAGACACGCAACTATTTACACAGCATCTCACTGACCTCTGGTCTAGTTCTGTGTTTACTTCCCACCCCTGCGCCCTCCCTCCGCCCCCAGCCGCGGACTCCGAGACTAACTTTCGTCCCTTGGCTCCGCTAGCATTTGCCTGCCATCCTTCACCTGCGGCAGGAAGTGGAGGCAAGGGAAGGGCTCTGGAGCCCAAGAATCTGGCCTTGAATCCCCATCGAGACTCTCCCCTTCTCTGAGTCTATAATTCTTCTCTATAGCTGGGCTCATAACCCCATACTTGCTGACACTCAGGGGGCTCCGACCGTGTCCGGGGAAGACAAGATAGAATTTTACATTCTTTCACAAAAACTCTACCCTACCTGGGCTCTCTGAGGCACGGAGAGGGCAGCTGCTTGTCCAGGGTGGCTCCGTAGGTGAGAAGTGCAGCCAGCGTTCTAACTCAGGCAGTCTTGCTAACTCAGCATTTTAAATAAATGAATAAATCTTTAAAACTAGTAATAACTTCATTAAAATATAAAAAGATAGATGATATAGAAAGAATTAAGTTGGAACATCAAAAATTAAAATATGGAGAAGATTGAAGTATACAAGTGTGGAGTTCTTTATTAGTATCTCTCATTTTTTGCTTGTTTCCCAATCTTTATCACCAATGTTGTTACTTTCATTTCAAATAGCTTGCTCTAATCCAAACAAGTTTTATATAAGCCCCGCAGTAGCCTTATATAACAAACTTACAGAAACAATAGGCAAGTAGAGTGCACGAGTATAGAGATCACTTAACCACACGTGAACACTGTAAGATAACAGGAAAGAAAGACGTAACTGCAATAAAAATACAATTAAAATCTGTTCTATCTGATGTGATCAAAGCCACTTCATCAACTTTTTGGTCTTCACTTGTGTGCTATAACTTTCTAACCCTCGACTTTCTGTTTATATACGTATTTTTACTTGTGAAGTGAGATTCTCATAGGAAGCATATCACTAGATATCACTAGGTCTTTTTTTTTTTTTAATCCATTCATCCAACTTTATCTTTTGGAAATCTAGTACATTCACATTAAAGGTTAATATTTACAGAAAGAACTAACTCCTGTCATTTTCTTGGTTGCTTATTGAGTGTTTTATATATCCTCCTTTTTTTCTGCTTCTGTTGTGTAAATAATGTGTGTTTTGGTAGCTTTTTGTCATGTTAAGATTGGATTCTCTTCTCTTTATTCTTTGTGTATCTCTCTGTTGGTGAGTTTTTTACTGCCATGCATTTTCACAATGGTTAGTTCTTTTTTTAAAAAAAATATTTTGTTTATTTATTTGAGAGGTAGAGTTACAGACAGTAAGAGGGAGAGAGACAGAGAGAAAGGTCTTCCTTCCATTGGTTCACTCTCCAAATGGCCACAACGGCCAGAGCTGCGCCGATCCGAAGCCAGGAGCCAGGTGCTTCTTCCTGGTCTCCCGTATGGGTGTAGGGGCCCAAGGACTTGGATCATCTTCTACTGCTTTCCCAGGCCACAGCACAGAGCTAGTTTGGAAGGGAAGCAGCCAGGACCAGAACCGGCACCCATATGGGATGCCAGCATTGCAGGTGGAGGATTAATCTACTGCACCGTGGCGCCAGCCCCAACAATGGTTAGTTCTAATGTAGGACTATCTTAAGGGTTTCAAATAAGGCTTGCTTAATGACAATGAGTTCTCCCAGTTTTTCTTTTTCCTGAGAAATACTTTATTTTCCTTGATTTTTAAAGGATAACTCTGCTGGATATAATATTCCTAGTTGGAAGTTTATTCTAACAAGACATTGACTACACAATTCCGCTTTCTTCTGGCCTATAGGGTTTCTGCTGAGAAGTCTGTTATTAGTCTAATGAGTTTTACTTCCTACATAATTTGACTTTTTCTCTGCCTGTCTTTAGGATCCTCTCATCGTCCTTAGGTGTTGACAATTGGTCTATAACATGCCTTCGAGAAGGTCTTTCCTGGTTGAGTCTTGTCAGGGCCCTTGCAGATTCCTGCATCTGTATGTCCACATCTATTTCAAGGCCAGGAAGCTTTCAACTGTTATTTAATTCAGTAGGTTCTCAATGCATTTTTTCTTTTCTTCTTCAGATATCCCTATAATAGAAATATTTATTTCATTATATCCCATATGTCTCAGGGGTTTTCTTCATCCTTTTTAATCCTTTTCTTTTTATTTATTTACTTGAAAGTAGGAGTTACAGAGAGATAAAGAGAGGCAGAGGCAGAGAGAGGACCTAATAATCAGTTTCCCATCTTTTTAAAAAATTTTTTTAAAGACTTATTTATTTGAAAGAGTTACACAGAGAGAGAAGGAGAGGCAGAGAGAGAGAGAGAGAGGTCTTCCATCTGCTGGTTCACTTTCCAATTGGCTGTAAGAGCTGGATCTGTGCCCATCTGAAGCCAGGAGCCAGGAGCTTCTTCTGGGTCT